AAAAGAATCTACGACGGCGACGAAGCACGGATCTTTTCGAAGCTCTTTATTTTTACAGAACCTGCAACAAGTGCTGATGATACTACGGTCGAGCAGCGTAAACAGGGCTTAGCCCTGACAGTGACACATCTATAGCCTTGACATTCCGACTCTGACCACTGAGCTGAGTATGACGGTTTGACATCGTCTCGTGTTCGAGGACTACAACAAGCAACGTGCCAACGATTCACAAGGCAATGCCGGTGTTTAAAAACAAGGTATGTCTCCACTTCATGACTTGTACTCGGGGGTTAGATTTCTAGACCTGGCTAAGCTAGGCTAGAGCCTAGATAGAGGTCTACTAGTCTAGATCTAGATCTAGGTAGTCTAGACTATAGATCTAGAGCCTAGCCCTAGAGGGGGTAGTCAGTTAGTCAATACCGTGTGAGTCAACAAAATTTACACCTAGAAAATGCTAATTATTAGATCTAGATCTAGACCTACATGTAGGTCTAGTATGAAATTGAAAGAGTGTTTATCCCAAATCATTTGGTATCATTTGGATCCGGGCTAACTCGGACCAGGGGACAACTCGGCCCAGCTGCAAAAACTGTCATTTTTGTAATTTTACCCTAACTCTAACCCTAACCCTAACCCTTAACCTAACCTAACCCTAACCCTAACCCTAACCCTAAACTACACTGGGCCGAGTTAGCCCGACTCCCATTTGTGTGTGGTATGTCACGCTTGGATGAACAGTGATGCCCTACAGTAGGCTATGATTATGTGAGATTAGCGGAGTGAGAGAATGAATTGAATGTATCAAATGAAATGCATTGTAATGATTGCATAGACCCTAATATGCTTTTGCAGGAGCAAAGTCACACACATACGAGCGCACAAATTTTTGTTGATATTCGATATTTGTTATGTGTGGCATGCTCTTAATTTTGTTCTTGTGACACATCACCCCAGACTTAGCGAATTGCATTGGTTGCCGGTGACATACCGCATTATGTACAAAATCTTAGTTTTAACATAAATGCATTCATGAATTGGACCAATTTATCTGCAAGAATTAATCGAGGAATACAAACCCTCACGCAATTTACGGTCTTCTTCACAATTAAACCTCGTATCTACTTCTGTGTCAACTCTCTCTTATGGTAATCGCTCCTTTCGCAAAGCTTCTGCTGAACTTTGGAAACAGATTACCTTTAAATGTAAAAACTGTCAAACCGTTAACCTATTCAAAACTAGTCTCAAGACACATTTATTCAAAATTGCGTTCGATGATTAATTAACTCTGTTCACTTTGATGTGTATTCCATATGTATTGTAATTTGTAGGTTTATTTTGCATTTTTAGTTTTGTATACATGTAAGATGTAATTGTATATCAGTCTATTTTGTGTGTATAGCGCTTAGAGACTTCGGTGGTAAGCGCTTTATAAGTATGTTTTATTATTATTATTATTATTATTTGGATCTGCAAAGACCGAATTAATACCCAAATCCCAATTGTTTTATTCAAACATCACATAAGCAACTTTGGCGCAAGTCAATTTTTGCACTCTCACAAACAATGCCTCCTGTTAGAATAATAATCCAATATACTATATAGGCCCTAATTCATATTATTGAATCTTTAGTGAATCTATACACTTAGATCTACATGTACATGTAGCTCTAATTGTAGACCTACATTATCTTCATGGAGGAAATTTACAGAATAGAGTATACTATACACTGTAATTTTTTAATTTTAAGTATTGATATTTATTTATTTATTTTTTGTAGGTGAGACTTGAAGTTTTCAGTGAAAACGGCTCTACAGCACGAGCGGAGAAGGCACATCCTCCAAGAGATGAGCCCCAAACAAGTGAAGCAGAACTTGAAGCAAGTATGTGCACTCTATATTGATTAGTGTAAATTTTAAATTTACTTTACTCTAAAAAATAATAATAATAATACCATGATAAAATTCAAAAATAAGAAAAGAAAGGAAAAATGAAAAATATAAACAATATAAAAAATACAAAATAAATACAAAAATACAGAATACAACAACAACAAAAAACTAAAAAAAAAAAAAATTGTTTCAATGATGTTATAAAATCAGAATTTCCATTAGTCTATGTAATTATACTACATGTACATACCGTACATGTCCATGAAGATATGTATGTAGACGTATTTGCCTTTTACCCTTGGAAGCATGATACAGTGCAAGTATTGGTTAACAAACCAAACAAAATGTTTTAGTTTTGGTAGTAAAAACAAGAAGACTGGTATGAGAAGACTGATTAAATATAGTCTCAAACTTTCTGCCTTGCGTAAAGATACAGTACATGCATGAGAGCATAGGATATTCCACTCCTGATTTCCGGTGAATTTTAGTGTATTTATGACAGGGCAATATATCGGCTTTTACTAAACACATGAGGCTCTGTGCGCTGGAAAACACTCTATTTTTTTAATGGTGTCTTCAAATCGGCTGTACCCTGGGGAAAATTTTATATTATTTGATATTTTTTATCGACTGTTCTTTTTTCAATTGTCTTAAAAGGGGCAAAGAAAAAAATTATCAAAGATGCTGAAATGTTGCGATTTTGTTTTTAAATGAGAGAAAAAGGAAAACCAGAATTAAACCTGAAGTTAGGAAAGAAAAAATATTATATGAATAATGTGGATTTTAAGAAAAAGTGTATTTCTACAAGAAAAAAAAACAAAAACGGCCTATTAATAGTTAGCAAGGATTTTGTTTTAATGGAGAGACAGAAAATAAGATGGATTGAAAGAAATTGACATTGTAATGAAGAACTAAAATACAAAGAAGAATCAAATTTAAAAAATATAGAATGATAGGGGAAAATGAAAGATACTAAGATAGACATGAAGAATTAAGAAACTGAAATAATTCAAATGCTAGATTAAACAGTAATTGATATTAAGACAGAAATGAGAGATATATATTTTGATTTGATTTGATTTTTGTTTCCACTCTTGTTTTTCTTTAACAAATTACAATAAGTCATACATGACAATCATAACAATTAGTTGTAAATTATAATAAAAAATGAACAATTTGCATGAGAATAATACTGAAGTCAATGAATTGTAAGGAATTTTATAATATTTATAACAAAAGTGGTGGAACCTAATTTAGAAGCAATGCTTGTATAACATATGTGCCAAAAGATAAAAAAAAAGAATTATACTTATAAATTTTTTCACAAAAATAAAATGAGCCCAACACTGATTTTCAAATCAACTAAGAGATACATTAAACAAGACAACTAAAACAAACAAACAAAAAATTTAACAATTGAAAAGAAATGTGAACAGTTAGGAGATTATAAAAAGGAGATGTAGGAAGATGTGAAGAGGAGGGGGGGGGGGGGGGCAAGTCTATCAATTTTGAAAAATGAGTTTTTGTTTGTTTAGTAACATCTTTTATTTTTGTTTAAAGCTGAACAAGCTTTGTGGAACCTTTAGCCTACATGTATAAACATTCAATGAATTCCAGAGCTTAGTGCCAGTAAAAGTAAACATTTTACTTGCAAAAAGAGTTTGTGTTAAAGGTATACGGTATAAATTGGATTGTGTTTTTAGATATTTGTGAATGGTGCTACATTTGTATTTTGAGTGAATGAGTTTGTAAAAATGTTTGGCATTTCTTGTTCGTTGTATTTATACAGACAATTTTCTCTTGAAGTATACATGTATACATGTATATAGTTTTGTTTTATTGTATTGAAATTGTCTTTTTTATTTTTGGTCACTTCACGGTACATTGATATATTTGACAAATGATTCACACACCAGTGAAAATGAACATTTGATTACCTATTACATTTAACGTTAAAAAAAATCTTTCTTTCCTTATCTGACAATGGATACCATTGGGCCATGCCCTGCCACCTGCTGTCATGGGCAGCTTTTTTCTCATTGCGTATAGCAATGTATCTCTCCATTTTATACAATTTAATTAATAAGGAAATGAAGTTGGAAATATTTGGTTTAACTTATTTGCATCTATTCAGGTAAATTGTTTTATTTGCAATTATTAAATATATGATTAAAAAGAATATAATTCTTTGTCAGTATAACAAGAATTACATTTTTGGGGGGTTAAAATCAAGAAATCAAACATAGTCTGCTCTTTTCCGAGCTGATTCCAAAAATCTTGTACTATTGTACATTTCCAACAAAAATGTTCAATCGTTTCACTGTCTAGGTCATAAAAAGAACATAATGGGGAACTAATGACTATCATTTTATACAGTTTATAATTCAAATTCAGAATATTATTTAATACCTTGAACTAAAATTCTCTGTAAATTACATCAATTGTAGTTGACATAATACCTGAACGAGCGAATAACAATTCTTTATCTGAAACATCATATCTATTCTTTAGTCTAAACGTACTGACTAGGCATTCATATTTCTCTGCGACCAACAGGTCATAAAATTGTTTGCTTTTTATTCTGTTAAAAAATATCAACTAAGGGGTTAGAATAATATGGGAAGTAATATCGTTTTTGAATGAATTTGTATAAACTATTTTAGGAATATTATTTATCTTTGATAACGAAGAGTACACTCCCTGTATCCTAAAGTAATCATTTGCATCTAGTTCAAATAACCTTTTCATGTCATCTTGTTCCTTTAAATTGCCCCCTTTTGTGAGGATGTCACTAAAAAACACCATTCTTTTAATGAAAAGTTTTCGAAAGAAAATCATATCTGAATTGACTTGTATAATTGTCTTTTGTCCCAAATAATCTGGAATTTCGTACTATCCTACCTGTTTCTCACATTGAGAGAGTTCCATCTTTCTAAAATAGCTTGATAGAACTTAGGAATGTTTTTGTCTAACATTTTATGACTATAGTTACAATAGAACAGGAACAAACCACCGTTCTTTTTAAGATAATATTTAAGAATTTGAAACCATCCTTGTTTATCGGCTTCTTTTATTCTTTGAATCCAATATAATTGTTGTGCGCTGGCAGATGACTGAACATCTACCATCTTAATTCCTCCCTTTGACAAATCTTGGATCATTACATTCCTTCGAATGTTATCAGGTCCATTCCAAATAAATTTGAAAAACATACTCTCCATTTTCTTTAGGAACCAGTCTGGCAATAACAAAGATGAAACAAGTACATACATTTTGATATTCCAAGGATTTGATAATTTGTATTTTTCCAAAAGTTTCTCATTTTCCACATATTTAAAGTGACTTGTAATGATGATAATATTTCTTCTGCTTTTTTAACCTGCGCAGAATATGATCCGATACCTACATAAGTACCAAGTACATTAATAATATTAACAAAATTCAGGCTGTGTTGAAAATCAGCGTCTGGTACATATCCAACTTGCAGTATTTCTGTCTTACTTAGGTTTATAGTTAAACTGGAACATTTCTCGAATTGTTGGATAATATCAAATAATGAATTAAGCAATTTTACATCTGAACAAAAAGAGCAAAAATCGTCTGCATACATAGACAGCTTTAATTCACTCGTACCTACGACTACTCCTCTTATATCTACTGAATGTCTGATAAGTAATGCAAGTGTTTTTAAACAAATTATAAACATGTAGGGAAAGAGGGGGTCTCCCTGTCTTACTCCTCTTGTAATCAGAAAATATCCTGTAGATTTTCCATTATTTAAAACGCAACCTTCTACATTTTCATACAAAGCTTTTACCCATTTAATAAAAGATGCTCCAAAACCGAAATAAAGTAAACATTGAGTCATGTAACCATGGTCTAAAGAGTCAAACGCTTTCTTAAAATCTACGGAAGCAATGAATCCTGTTTTTTGTTCAGTACAAAGAAAATGGAAAAAAAAGTACATTTCAGATAGCTTCTCCTATTGCCCTCCCACGTAAAAAAGCATACTGATCGGTGTCAATTATTTCGTCTAAAACTTGTATTATTCTATTCGCCAACACCTATAGTTGATCAAGTTGAACTTTCAAAATGTTTCCCCAAGCAAGAATAACATAAGTAAAATATGATAGGATCAATGTAGAATATAACATGAGGAGAGTTGAAGGTGGAAATTCATATTTTTATTTTTTGATAGTTTATGTTTTGGGAAATAGTTTAACTTACTTTGCCTATGAGAATTGTTTAAGATAATTTCTCATCAATTGTAAAACCTAACAATTTAGTTGAGTTGACCTTGTTAAGAATAGCATTGTCAATTATTAAGTCGCAAGGGAGATTATGAATAATATAAATTTATAATTGACAATTTGTTGGATTTAATCCACTGTGAAACATTTTACAATTCAGATATTGCAGTTCTAAGAAGAACATGTGGGTCTGGGTTAGATATGAAGGAAAGCAAGTATGAACAATGTTGAATATCATGAATGTAAATTAAGTAAAGTAAAATATATATATATGTACCAAAAAGAAATTACATTATACAGCAGAAAGAAGGAGAATAAAGGAAATTCCATATGTACATGTACTGTAGATAGTTGAAAACTGAATGAAAAGGAAAAGAGAAGAATTAAAATTACACTTGATCGGATGGAAATAATATCAAAAGAGTTTTGTTAAAGGTTGAGATGTTGGATTGATGGGAAATAAAAATATATGGAAAGAGGAATACAGAAAAATCAAATATTATAGGCATGTACAGGTGTATGCAAGATTACCATAGCATTCACAATTGACATAAAAATAGAAAAATATGAATTCCAAAGAATAATATCAGAATAGAGAAGAGGAAAGAAGCTGAAAATAAATTTATAGAAAGAGCTAAAGATATCAAACAAATGTTTTAAAAAAGATTGTTGTAACTGTAAGAAAACAAAGATGTAGATGATAGAGGACAATGAAAAGAAAAATCGTAATAAATGAAAAGA